CTTAGAAACAAATCTCTTGTATATTGTTAACCAGCGACACAACCTCCATGTATAGCAGCTTCTCCAGCTATAAAAACAATATATATATCCCTGTTTCTGAAATCCAAAAGTGATTAGTACCTTATACCTAGTTGAAACGATTGAACAACCAAATAACATCCATAATAACAATATCCCTTAATAAAATATGATGTGATTGGTTCTAGTGATCTAACTTTAGCCATTGAAATATATAATCACTTTAAAATTGAAGTCTATTTTCTAACCATCATACCATATGCACATCTCAGAACCATTACCACTCATGAATTCATACGGTGATATCTTCAGAACTCTCATGTCATCGCCAATTGTTGGTCTTTTAGACCAGTTCAAAGTTACCTTGATATCTTCTTGCTGAGTGGGGGTGATTCATCTGCAAATATATCATTATGACTTTCCAAACTTGTGATTGAGATTGTTTCCACTGAGTTTTAATTCTTTTGTCAATCTGTTGATGACAATTAATCCTTTAATGAGTCAACCACTGGGAACTTCAGAGCACAACATTCTAATAATACATCCTCAATTGATTTACCAAACAACTTTTCAGCATTTTGAACATTGCCAAAATATCTAATGGAATATCAAGTTCATTTCAATGATTCATGGACTAAAGAGCTTTATTGTCAGTATTTGACGGTATAAATAGATGATCCAGGGTTCCATACTTACATTATATCACTAATCTTGTTGATCTAGTTTGTTGTTGTTGTTTTTGCTTTTTTGTCGAACTTGAAGATTTTGAAAGTTGAAACCTCCAGATACATAAACCATCCAAACACCAAGTGTACCTGAGCAGATTCGTGGACACAAATGCTATACTGTTCTAGCTTGTAGCTCCATCTTAACAACTTCTGTGATTGCACTGACTCATCTTTCAATTTCCACATGGATGTTCCCAAATGATGAATCATCATCCTTAGACAAATTGAAGGTACAGTTGAACCCCTTTTTTTTCATTACAACCAAATCCCGAAAACCAAAAGATATAAACTGGGCCTTTATTCCAGAATTCTGATTGTAAATAATATCAACCAGCACCACTACACAATGAGTCTTCCAATCACTAAAGTCGCAGCATGCCATATATCTCCTGTGATCCTGGATAAAGATGCCACAATGAAGAAAGTTTTCAATTCAATCAGAGAAGCTGCTTCAAATGGTGC